CCTAGGAAGGAAGGTTGGGCAATCTACTTCTGTAGTGATACTGCCTCGGAAACCCAAGGAGGGGTCGCTATGAGTCGGGTCCAACTTGACGGCACATAACAACAACAACAACAACTGCCTCCGAAACCCAAGAAGGGGTAGCTATGAGTCAGTTCCAACTCGACGGCAGTGATTTTGGTTTGGTTTTAATCTTTATGGAGGTAAACTGCCACATCTTTCTCCCAGGGAACAGCTGATGGGTTCAATCCATCAACCTTTCTGTTAACAGTCAAATGCTTTAACCACTATGCCACCAGGGCTCCTAACTGAGGCACAAAAACCAAACCAAACCAAATCAAACCCACTGCCAATAGTCAATTCCAACTCATAGTAACCCCCATTGGGTTTCTGAGGCTGTAAATCCTTATAGAAACAGATTGCCTCATCTACCTCCTGAGGAGCAACAAGTGGGCTTGAACCACACACTTGGTTACCAGCCAACTACCTTACCCACTATGCCACCAGAGCTCCTTAATTGAGGCAAGGGCCAGTTAAAATGACTTGCCCAAGTCATGGGTCCCATGTTGCTGAACAAGGGCCATGTGAGATGGGAAAGTACTCTTCTGTCTCATATGGAAGCCTGTGTTGCTCAGTGAAGCCCACTCACTCTCTTTTTAAAACACTCAAAGAGAGTGGCCAACCAAAAGCAAATCCACTGTCATCAAGTCAATTCAGATTCATGGCAATGCCACGTGTTTACAATTGCACTCCATAGGGTTTTCAGGGGAGTGGTATTTGAAGTCCGCATGATCCTTCCATGCTGAAAACCAGTGTCTACACTTGCCTAATCATGTTTCTTAGTGTGGATGCATCTCTGCCATGTCCTGCCAGCCAAGTCCTACAAGGCTGTGACAGTGGGGGTGGGATGGAAGGGCAGGAAGAACAGGGAGTGGAGGTTGTGTGTGGGGGGGTGCCTATTCACAGTCATGCCTCACAAAGCTGTTCCTGGCTTTTCCCATAGGTGCCAAGTTTCCTATCAAGTGGACGGCCCCAGAGGCCATCCACTTTGGTGTGTTCACCATCAAAGCAGACGTGTGGTCATTTGGAATCCTCTTGATGGAAATTGTCACTTATGGGCGTGTGCCATACCCAGGTAGGCATTCTCTAATGTTTCACCATGACCCCTGTTGCTCTGAGATGGCTCTGATGGCAGATTTTCATCCCTTAGTGCAAACGACTGCTCACCTACTTGTCAGAATGGGGTCCCAACTGTGTGTACAGAGACTCACTCTGGGGGAAATGTTCGTCCCCTTCTTCAGTATTGCTCTTAGCAAAAGGTGTATGTCCCTTTCCTCCAGCAGAGGCCAGTGAGCCTCAAAACTGGAATCAAGTTAAAAATCAAGGTCTAAATTCAGGTTCACTTCCATTGGCTTATTCTGAAGTTGAGGATAGGTTGCCCTACCTTGGTACTAAGGTGTATTCCCAAAAGCCCCATTCTGAGCTGGCACAATCATCAAATTCAGACTCCACAGTCCCCCAGCCATCTCTCAGAAAGGCTTGGGCAATTTAGCAGTCCACAGGGTCTCTCTCAGTCAGCCAATTAGTGAGTTTTCATGGGACACCTGCCAGTGAGTAATGGGTTTTGGCTGGATCCTAAGGAATGATAGATAATGAAAATATGACCCCATGAGCTGAGGAACTGCCCTGTACTCAGGAGAATGTCTGCATCCTTTTTCCCAGTTGTTCTCCAAGGCTGACTAAAATGATTTAACAAAATCCATAACAAAAACGGATGGATGCATGGATGAGTGGGTGAGTGGGTGGATGGGAGGATGGATGAATGGATATTTAAAAGGCAGCATCTGTTTAGCTGGTGCTGCCTTTTAACTATCCATCCATCCATCCTCCCATGCACCCACCTACCCACTCAGCACCAGCTAAGCAGAGGGAGCTCTGGTAGGGTAGTGCCTAAGGCACTTGACTGCTAACCAGAAGGCTGGAGGTTCAAATCCACCAGCCACTCCTCCGAAGGAAGGTTGGGCAATGTACTTTCATAGTGATACCGCCTTGGAAACACAAGGAGGGGTTGCTAGGAGTCTCAACTAGGACTAGAAGTCCCACTCGGGACATAACAACAAAATCTAAGCAGAAAGGCGACTTGCAAAACAGGAAGGCGGTGGTCTGGGTCTTTAACACAGTCCTCTTCTTTCTTGGGCCGGGGCTCCCAAAGGACGGTTCTGACTCCACCTTCTTCCTCGGGGTCATGCGGGCGCTGACCTAGCGGCTCACACGTGCACTCTCCCTCCCTCCCAGGCATGAGCAACCCAGAAGTCATCCGCAACCTGGAGCGTGGCTACCGTATGCCGCGTCCGGACTCATGCCCGCCGGAGCTATACAACAGCGTCATCATCGAATGCTGGCGGAGTCGGCCGGAGGAGAGGCCCACCTTCGAGTTCCTGCATTCGGTACTCGAGGACTTCTTCATGGCCACTGAGCAACAGTACGAGCTCCAGCCCTAGGGCCACCCACCCGCCGCCCTGGTCCCCACCAGCTCTCGGAGGGATGCTCCGTTGGAGGAGATGCAGCCGGGGCTTCGCAAGCTCGTGGGTCTGAGCCAGGTGTGGGCCACAACCCTTGGGCAGATAGTTAGAACTGACTAGGCATATTTCCATAGGCTCTTATTCCAGCCCCATGATAACCAAGAAAAACAGAGAGGGATTATTATTCCCATTTCACAGATGAGGAAACCAGAGGGTAGAGGGTAGAGGGTAGGATAGCAACATGGGCTTCCATATGAGACAGAATCGCTTAACAGCATTGCCTCTGGAGCCAGACTGTCTGGATCTGAATCTCAGCTCCACCATCCACTGGCTTCATGCCTTTCGGCAAGCTACTTAGCCTCTCTATGCCTTAGCTTCCTCATTTGTAAAACTGGGTGGAACAGTAATAGTGCCTACATCATACATTTGACGTAAGGATTAAATTAGTTAACCCAGAAAAGTGTCCAGCACGTGCAAGCACTATTAAGTGATTGTCATAGAGGTTTCCCTGTCGTAGAACCTAAAGTGCCTGGTGGTGCTGTGTTGGGCTGCTAACCCAAAGGTCAGTGGTTTGAACCCACGAGCCACTACATGGGAGAACAATGTGGCAGTCTGCTTCTATAAAGATTAAATTGGAAACTCTATGAGGCAGTTCTACTCTATCCGATAGGGTCACTATGAGTCAATCCACTCGAGAACAGTGGGTTTGCTTTTGGATGGGTGATGGCATCAAGACTGAGAAGCTGGGCCACAAGTGACTGGAAGCCCCCACTCCTCTGAACTGTGGGGACCTCCTCCCTTATATGGCCCCCTTTCTGCTACCCCCAAAATTGGCCCCTCAAGATCAGTACTGAGTCCTCCAAGACCTCTGGTGGGGAAGCCTCCACTTGTATCTGTCTCTGGGAGGGACAGACAGACTTGACCTAGGCTGTGCACAGCACTTTGGTAGTTTTTTGTAATAAAGTCACAGAAGTCTGATATCTTCAATGTCTTTACTTGTCATGATCCTGGACATCACATACAAGATGTACATGAATGGTGCCGCCAGGGAGTCCCTAAGTGGCACCAAATTGCCAATGAAAATCACGACCTCAGGCCCTGTGAAAGCTGTGCAGAACTATAACTGGTCTATGAGTCGGGCCAGTAGGAGGCGCCCTCACCTCAGAAATCTTTAACCTCCGGTATAAATCCGGGAATCTTTAGCTCAGCATGTCCAGAACTAATGACGTGAGCAAGTGTTGGGTGCTCCAGCGTGCAAAGATGCTGGAAATAAACTCTCTGCCCTCCGAGTCTCCCTCAACGAGGTGCATAAAAAGCAGATGACGGTGGGATGGTAATACTGTGGAACATGCATTGGGGTTTTCCACTGTTCTAAACACTTATCATGTTTTGACTCCTCTAATGGAGGGCACATAACAACAACTTAACAATCCTTATAGGGTCACTGTCCAAATAGACTCCACGGCAAAGAGTTTGGTTGTTTTTTTGTCTTTGTTTGTTGTTTTTTGGGTGGTTTTTTGTTTTGTTTTGTTATTTGGTTAATCCTTGTGAAGGACCCCCTAGGTGGAACAGTTACCACTCTCAGCTGCTAACCAAAAGGCTAGAGGTTTAAGTTCACCAAGAGTTGCCTTGGAAGAAAGACCTGGCGATCTACTACTGAAAAATCTGCCATCAAAAAATCCTTTCGAGCACAATTCTACTCTCACACACGGGGAGTCAACCATGAATTGTGGGGGGTGGGGGGATGGGGTTGCTGAGGTGAGAGAAATTCACAGATGGACAGACAGCATCTGCAGAAGCACAGAGGTGAAAAAGTGAGCAAAACAAAATACACATTTATATAATACTATTTATAGAGTACTCTCATGTACACTCTATCCATTGATACTCAGACATCCCCAGGGGAAGGTCAGTAGGTACCACCATTATTGTTATATTGTGACTATGCACTTTCTACAAATGAGGAGCTGGCAAGCTTGTCAAAGGGCTCTTAGCTGGCAAGTGCTGGACCTAGGATTTGAACCCTCTTCTTTGCCTCCAAAGCCCTTTTCTGTGAGTAGGTTTTGTATAGGAGAACACAACAATCTTGGGAGTAGGGATGGGCGAGGTTGTGGGAGCTAGGTCTGGAAAGTTAGATCAAAGCAGGCTGGGTGAGCCTCCCTAAGGAGTTCCCAGCTGGAGCCTCTGCAGGCTTTCAGGCGGGGGTAGGGGGTGGAGTAATGCAGTCAGATCAGGGTTTCAAAAGGTCTTTCTGCAGCTGCTCAAGGATGCCAGAGGTAGAGGGTTCTAGAGACAGGGAATTCCCAGCAGTGCAGACTCCAGAGAATTCTAGGGCTTCTGTCCACCTCCAGGACTGATGATAGGCTCTTTGCAGAGATGGATTGTGAGTCTCTAAGAAAAATACAGCTCAGTCCCAATGCTCTCAGGCCTTGTGGTCAGATGAGGTTGCTGGAAGAAGGGAATCTCTGGGAACAGGGGTTGCCTGGCCGGGAACCTGGGGCAACAGGGCACGGCTTATGAGAATTAAGCAGGACAGCAAGATACCAGTATTGACCGCCTCTGCCAGTAGGGGGCATGGCATGAGGTAGAGACAAATCCAAGCCCATGGGCTCAGGGCTGGGAATGGCTGAGCTGACTTGCCAGGAGGCCCTGACAGGACCCAACTGCTGCTTGTGGGGAGGGAGACTATAAGCATAAGAAGGTGGAATGAGTTCCTCCTTCCAGCTTAGCAGCCTGGAACTTAGGCCTGGGCATCACTTCCCTTGTCCTCCCATTGCTCCAGAGCTAGTGGAAAGGATTCTAGAGGGGCTTCCTGTGACTTCAGTCCTAGGCCTGTCCCATTGCCCAATAGCTGCAAGACCCAAGACCAACTCATCACTTTCCTGGACCCTGCTGCCTTCATCTAAAGATAAAGGGGTCATCCAGGGCTTCGCCAACCTCACTATTCATGAAAATCAGCTTGGGTCCTTGTTTTAAAGTACAAATTCTGAGACCTCTCCCTCAGAGATTCTGTGCCAGTAGGTCCAAGGCAGAATCTAGAAACCATCTTTCATGAGCATCTGAGATGATGCCAATGTAGGTGATTGTTAACATAAACCAGTGGTTCCCAACCTTGGCTGCACATTAGAATTACATACAAGTGTGGATACTTGACTACCAATTATCTAAGGTAGGGCCTGGGTACCCGCTGGTCCTAATGTTCAGCCAGGGTTGAGAACGACGGGGTCAGACTGTGTGAGGTTTGAAAGTAACCTTTCCCAAGAAGGCTGCACACCTCATCACCTACTGTCCTTGTTAACACCATAGCCTGCCAGTCTGATGCTCCACCAGGCTTGGGAATTGCAGGACCAGCTGATGCTTGTGGTTCTTTCCAG